CGTGAAATTAATCACTTATCGAGCTCGTGTTAAGATATTCATATATGAAAAAAAAAAAAAAAAACCCACACTTATGAGTAATTAAATGTGAATAATTAAAATGGGAAAAGGGGTAAAATACAGCGCAGATACCGAGGACCCCCAGAGAATAAGAGATATTACGAACTGCGTTTTTCTTCACAGCCGTTTAAGAGGCGCTTAGAAGATGCCAGCGTGAAGATTATTCCGGGGGTCTACGTATGTATGTTCTTTAAAGGGCAACAACAGCTGTGAAGGCTTTTCAATAATCACTGGCCTCAGCAGACCACAATAAACACATACATCCCAGCCTATTAAGGAGCCACAACTCCCACAGGGTTAATGGTTTGGAAACTGCAGCTAAATATTAATGACTGTAACCCTACTGCTTTTTTATATTGTGTTTTTTCTTGCCATCTTTTCTACTCCCCGTTAACACATGCACTTACTATTTTGTTCTTCCGAGTAAAACATTAGTTCCTTCTACCGGCCTGCTCATTATTATTATTACATTCTGCCGCTGCCAACTGTCTCAAACCAATGTGCTTTCATCAATGTTAAGGATATTTGCATCATTTTCATTTCCACATTAGATAGTCCACTGTCAATGGCCACCAGACTCCCCTCTACCAAATCTAATTCTCCCAGGAACAGACTTCTTATACCCATTTCTTTCCTCATTCGCTGAAAACACCAGCACTTTCCACCGCACGCTTCTTGTTTTTTAGCATTACTCCGCTCGCCGGCATATTTCACCGCTTTTTGTTCTCGTCTTCTTGCCTCTGTGACACTTTAATTTTCCTATGTCGAATCAATGAAGTTCATCTTATTTCGCTGAAGCAACGATTGAAACAAATGGGAGCCTAACTGCAGACAGAAAAATGACTTTCTCCGCCAGCCGCAGCTGTGTTTTAATCATTTTTTGTTTCTATAAATACAGCTACCTTTCATGATTAGTTTTAGATCCACAATAAAAGCCGTGAATTACTGAAGTTAAGTAAATGGCCTCGCACCGATCATCATTAGAATGTCAGAAGCAAAGCTGTGGCGATACTGTTTTTATCGTCTTGTTCAAGTTAGTTTCAACGAGGCTTGTTCCAGGCTTCCAAAACTGAACATTAGGCGAGAGACACGCTGAGGGAAATCCAGTTAGACTTGCACTCTATGTCATAAGTGTGCTATACCTCAAGGACGGTCAAGGAGCACTCAATGAAAGAGTTTGTTCCATCTGGCAAATGGAGTGGTGGCAGTGGCTGCCAAAAATACTGACTGAATTCTGCCTCTAACCTTAGCTGGTAATATTGTGAAAGAAGAGGAGAAAGCAGGCAGGTGGTTTGGTAGTGAGAAACCCAACTAGTGGTACAAGGTGTTTGATAAGATGCATCAGGAAAGTGTTGGGTCAACCTTGTGGAACTTATAAACCAGTGGTTTGGGGTGCGATAGCATTCGAATGCTAAAGCCCTTTTCAGACATTGTTGGTTTCATCAGTCTGTGAAAGTGACTGTATTTCAACATTCACACAGAGGTCAAGTTTATGGTAATGTTCCTCACAGCTTCATTCAGACTTACCCACAGAAGTGAGGTACACAAAGGATTAGACGGTCTGTAATTATTATGCACTGACAGACAAAAGACTAAATCTAAAGCTGCTGTGTAACAAATTATTTAACTGCAGCTTCTAAACTGCAACTGTTCACGTCTAAGGTGACTAAAAAGGACAGAAAGTACAACTGATTTGCCGTTTGATACTGACTGATCTTGTCTCCATGTCCGGGATAATTTGCAATTCTAAGTCATAAATGAAGTTCCTCTATTGTTTTACATGTGTAAATGTGTGCAACGTTGGAGAGACTCATATGGATCCTGCTGCTGTCTGATGCTGCCAATATTTAATAAACTCAAACAGCTAGAAGCAACAAATGAAATTCCAGCTCTTAACATTTCATCAAAACGTGGATTACCTTCATGATTGCTGAGTCTCATTAATCTGAACTGCTACAGTTTGCCAGAATCACAGTAAAGTTGTATTTTTATGGACATATCAGTTTTGAATAAATGTGAAATTGCAAGACAAAGTGAATGAAAAAGTCATTTGTGATTTTGGCAGTAAACTGTCTCTTCTATCTTTTTTTTTGGATCAATAGTGGTGCTGAAATGTATTTTTAAAAACATTGCTTCACACAAATTGACAATCTGTTCATGTGACTGCATGTAGTTGTGACTTGTGCCAGGTCGAAAGTAATACAGAAGTGTTGCCATGTTCGACGAGAAGTGTCGAGGACGCTCGCTTAGGTATGAAGTCGATACATTGAGCTGTCGTCAGAATAACAGAAAGGAGGGTCTGAAAGGGGTTCAAATGTACACAAAGGAGGGCGACTCACGCAACTGCTCGTGCTACACTGTAAAAATTTCAACTAAAATAATCACAGTTTTAAGTACCATATCTTTTGATGTGTGCAGTTACGGTTCAGTGTTCAAACATTTGCCCTAAATGAATACTTCACAGGACCTTCCTTGACAGACATGACAATGAGCACGAACAGCTACTTATTCCAGATGTTTTGGGACTTAAACAGTGGCGACAATTTTACAACCTCTCTGTAATTTCTGCATTTGTGCGAGTTGGCATGTCGTCATCGGCTGCAATCACAACAGTCTTTACGAAATTCATCCTCTGCTTCCGAGCTTATCTGGCTACATGAATTCCTTCACTTGAGAGATTTTGTGGGGTAGGGGCACGGAGCATGTAATGATATTGCAAAGCACTCAGCTTGTATGATTTTACAGGCTCTAACACTTTGATGTCCTCTTCAAGAGGTTGGTATGACTTAATGTAGCTTTGAGGGAGCGTCAGCGAAAATGAAAGAAACCAAGGGAGAAAAAGAGGTGGAGGAAGGGAGGGAGGGGCGAACAACATGATAGAGAGGGAGATGAGGAGAGGGAGGCAGGGGTGAGGACCGGTCAGGTTTTGCTTCCCTGCTGAGAATAACACTTTTTTCTTTCTTTCTTTCTTTTTTTTTTTTTAACTAGCACATAAGCCTCTTGGTGGAAGAACACGGGCCAATTAAAGGGAGAAATAAATAAATAAAAAGGCCGCAGCATTGCTGGATCATCTAAAATCAAGCCTTTATATGAGAAAAGATTAAATAACTCACAGCTCTCCTGTCAAAATACACTGAGAGCAGCAATATAAAAAATGCAGTTTGTGTACAATTTCTTTAAATGCAACACTTTGGTTGCTACTGAGAAAAAGTTGTAAATGCTTTGCATCTTGCTGTTTCCCAAGGTTTCTTACAGATATAAGGGACTTATGGGAAATATGCAAAAAAAAAAAACAATAGTAACACTTTGATTTGCTCTGTGTTGTGTAGCTTTTGTACAGTATGTTTCTTGCTCTCTTTCACATATTCTGCTTCTCTTGTACCTTTACCCCGTTGACAGTAAGTGATGCTGAATGCATTAACCCTAGCTCCAAGTTAACATGTACTGTACATTGCAGCCTCTTCACAGCGACACGTGATGCTGATCCAACGATAAAAATCTCACACACAACCTGAACATCGCTCCCGACTTGCAGGAGAGTGAAGCTGAAGTAGCCACAGGCAGTGTGAAGGCTTTAGATTTGAATCTACAGCTCGTGGCAAAAAGATGAATAGCAGATTGTCTGTGCACACTTCGTAACACCTGGAGGCTTCAAGGTAAGATAGAGGGAAAAAAAAAAAAAAAGGCAGGGGACATTTATACAAACAACTGAGGGCCAAACACTTTCCGCACTTGTAAATGATTGGATTATTATGGTGTGTGTGATGCTTAGGCTCAGATTGGCAGTAAATGAAGGCAAATTAATTAATTGTGGCAGTGAGGCAAATTAAAAGGTGGCCAAAGTCAATTTCATGGCCTCCAACAGTCGACTGCCAGTGAAGACAGATGTGGGAGGCGGCGGCGGCGAAAGGAAGACCTCAGAATCCTGAGCTGTTCTCACACACTGGCAGCCGATGAAGGGACAGTGATTGGCATGGAGGCTTCAGATCTGTTCCAGCTAGTTTGTGAATGCAGGTTGTAGTGCACTTGCGTGTTCTAAATGTGAAATTGTACAAGGCAATAACTAATTCATAGACTTCCTGGTGTGAAGGACAGAGTAGTTTAAATTCTAATATCCTTCTGAGTGAGAGGAGGCCAAAAAAAAAAAAAGATTTTTTTTTGGCTACTGCACATTTCTTTTAAAAAAAATCTTCTGGATAACGTCTCCAAAGATAACTCGGTTCTTTTGTTATATGGACCTTACATTCATATCAAATTGGACCAAACTGACCGATCATAAGCTTGGCCTGCCTCCAGTTGATGTGGCTTAGAATTCTAACACATAAACTGTTGCCATCCTGGACAGCGAGGGTTAATAAACAGGTGTGTACGTGTATATGAACACATTCAGAGCTCGTCAGAGGGAGCAGCCGTCCGGAAACACAAGTGTTTGTTAGTTTTCCCATCTCTGGATTTTTTTCCTCCCTTCTTAACCGTGAACGGTGACAAGAGGGGATGGAGTGATTTATTCCTGCCATTCAGTAGTAATAACAAGTGGGACGTCCTTTTTCTGTCTCTCCTGGTGGGAGGGATGCTGCAGCAAGGGATGAGGTGAATGTCTGAGTGGTAAAAAATAATTGTCATGCATAAAGTCAGTCTTGTGTTAAAAGGGAATAAAAAGTGAGAGAATCCTCGCTCGCACTTCAATGTGCAGATATTTTCCAAGGTGGTATTTAGGACTGCATACGATGGCGAACCAGTCACTGCAGCAGGAAGTAAAACGCGTTTACAGAGTGATTTGATTGCTTACTAACCTCATTCGCGTTCACATTTATTGGCAGTCGAATGTTGTGTTTCTGTTTTTGCGAAATTGCTTCTTAAGGCCAATTGCAAAAGGAATATTCACAATTCCTCCTGCAGTTGTCATTCTTTCACTCGTACACATGACAATCTCGACGTACCTGTCTCTACGTCCTGGCTGTAGAAGTGCAAGGTGTCGGTGATTTCGGTGACGTATACTGGTCTGTAGTTGGCCACGCGCTCCTTCTCCTCTGAAAGGTGCACGACCTCCTCCACTGGTTTCTCCTCATAGTTGGCCCAGATCTGCAAAACACACACAGAGTTGACAAAGATGGGTCAGTGACCTCAGCGGTACTTTGTAATACAACCGAGGTGGTGAGACACAGGTGACACATGAAAGGAAAATTAAAGTGTCTTTGTAAGGTGTTGGGCTACCATGTGCTGCTTCAAAGCACCTTTGATTCTCCAAGGCTCTGGAAGTCCACTGGTGGCACTAAACACCAAGAGATATCTGGTGTTTTGTCGGTAAAGAGTGCTGTGTAACAAATCTCATATAGGTTGGGATCCGGTGACTGTGAAGGCCATAGGATATGATTCACATCAATTTCATACTCATCGAGCCATTCAGTGACCTTTGGGCCCTTGTGGATTGACGCATCGCCACTCTGGAAGAGACCACTCCTGACAGGAGAGAAATGTTGCATCCTAGGATAAAGCTGATCACTTTGTATTGATTCGACCAGATCCCCTGACCGTAGGGTCTGCAGGTTCATGTTTTTCCTTTAATTTGTCACCCATCTGTATGTCAGCTCACTGTCCCTTTCGTTTGTGGGTAAAAACACATGTCAATATGGACAATAGATGTTGTGACACAGGAAGTGACTGAAAGAGATCGTGAATGTCCTTGGGCTACTTGGCTCCTAAATATTTTAAGTATTCTTTTTCATCTGTTTTGGGCACTTAAATGATTTTCAAAGTAATGAATGACTTCTTTATTTATGACAGCATGAGTATAAAACATCGGAAGGTCAAACTGACACACCAGATCTCAGTGACGTACCACTAGAGCATCAAGCAAAGCAACATCCATTCTTGCTCCTAACTCAGACTTGATTCTACAAGCGTATTGTATTCTACGTTTTCCTCTGAAACACCACTAATGAACAAGAAGTTGTTATTTCTTTAAGAGGCTATTTTAGGGTTGATTTTTTTGAGTTAAGGGTTACGAGTCAGAATTAGAATCAAGTTAAAATTAGAGCTAAGGTTAGTCATGCAGTGACGGTGATAATTTTAGAAGCTCGATACATTTTATTTATTTATTTAATTTTAATGTAGTAATTGAGGTTCTTTCACAAGCACAGCAATCCATGGTGTAGTGTGTGTAAGCAGGTTACATCCTTTCTAAGCTGCATCAAGGTTAGTTCTCGTTCGGCTCCCCAGGAGAAACGGAGGGCAGGAGGCTCATTAGGGAGAAGTGCTTTGCCTTGGGCCACATATCAAACTGCATGGATGTCAGTAGGCGTGTGTGAGTGTGTTTACAGAGAGCAAGGGATGCGGCAGAAGGAGTGGGTGGTTGTTAAGACGGAATGCAGCGTGTTTGTATACAGCTTCAAGTACAGTAATAGTATTAAGCACATGCACACACACAAAACAGTGGTCGGGATGAAAGCGAGCTAATCAACTCCCTGTAGATGAATCATTGTGAAGCAGGAGGCGAGGTTCGGTGGGGAACTCAAAAGTCAAAAAGTGCAACTGAGCTTCACGGTGCTCCAACTTCGTGCTTGTTACTGTTTTCGTTTCTGTAGGCTATTTGGGAAGTGTTTACTTTTAAAGGTTACAGCGAAAGGAGGAAAAGAAGCAGACAGATTTTTAACAGCACTGTGATATTAGCCAATTAGGTTCTGGCTAATTATTTAACTGCATGGTATCTTCGAGCTAATTAGATTAGCTAGTTTTAGTGTTGTCATTTTTTTTTTTTCCACTCTGTCTTTGCTCATGTGCCGAGCTATGGTAGCGTTAAGGCTTAGTTAATCGCACCTGAGGCTTTTTTTGTAATATGCAGGCTCCTCGGCACACTGAGATGATCCTTTGCCTCATTGATGCGGTGATGTATAGGAGTGCTCTTTGTGTGTGTGTGTGTGTGTGTGTGTGTAAATGACAGACAAATTAGCAAATGAGAGCTGGAGGAAAAACACAAACAAAAGTCATAACCACGGAAGAAAACCCATAAAACAAGTCACAGAAGAATTGAGCGCCGTTGCCCAACATCGCCGCTAACAAATGACAGGGTCATATTATCAAATTACATTGAATTATTCATCTAAAAAAAATGTGATAAAAAAAAAAAAAAGGAATGAGCAGGAGAAAAGACGGGAAAATGGAGGGAAGGAAGACAGAAAGTAAACAGGTAGAAATTGTGGAGATTGAGGGCGAGCAAGGTTAATGAAGACCGAAAACGCAGCCGCGCTTCGTAAACCCCGAGATCAAGCTGGATTTATTTATTTATTTATTTATTACTGCATTAGACAGGTATGTGCATTATTAGCATAACACACATATAAAGTGCTGCCATATGCACACATTGCCTGCACACTTTGAAATGCTGGAATAAACGGAGTCTGGTAATAAACATGCTTTCCACATTGCATTTGCGCTGACTTGACTTGGCTTTTAATCAAACCTGCAGCACCAATTAGTGATGACAAAGATTAGAGTGTCACCATTCATTAGCCTGGCGGCTATCACTGCAGCACTTTTAGGGTGGTGGCTAGTGGATGGTGAGAATGGGTACCGAACACAAGCACATGGCTGCCTGCTTGGTGTCGTAGTGATAAGAGACAGGTTCAAACAAAAGAGGTGAAAACGCATTTGCCTCACCACTGCAACTTCATGTGAGCTACCGTCAAATTTGAGCAAATTTGCCAAAATGACACCATCTATCATATCAAGAAAGTGTAAAAACAGGAAGACTACTCAGCTTTTCAACACTCAGATGGTGCCCGAGCTAATCATGTGTTCATGTTTTTGTTGGGGGAAAAACAACCAAATCTACGCTAAAAATCCAGATATGTCATCAGTCACTTTGTCCTACATGTCTCGCCAAAAAATGACAAAAATAAATGGTTTGCAGTGACTAGAAAGTATTCTGTAAAATATTAGAAATTCTACAGTCACACTAGTATGCTAGTGAAATTACTATATAATGTAGAGCCACCATTTTTTTTCTCTGTGTTGGTACCACATGTGGGCTAGATGTTGGGTTTTTGTCAATTTTTATCAGATGAATGTTCAAAGAAAGCCAACCTTTATGGCATTGTAACTTTCTCATACCGCACATAAAACATGTATGAGTCCTCTCTACGTCTAGCCATGGTTGTGCCGTTTCCAGCGAGGTGCAGGACTTTACATTGCAGTGAAAAATGGGCCCACAGTGTGTAAAAATGTGACAGGAGCAGAGGGGAAAAAAAAAAAAACAACAAACACCCAGAATCCGCTCGGGGTTCAGACAGTTAACAAAAAGGCAAACTTCTTCACCCCTTCCAGCTGTATCCCCAGTTTGTTCACACCTCTGATGCTTGTGCCAACTTCTGTCGCAGGTTTCGGCTAAAAAGGACTAACATCCCGCTGCTGCTGCTGCTGCTGCTGCTGCTTCCCTCTTTTGCGTGTGTGAAAGAGGGTAAAAAGGATGCGTGTGTTCTATTTATTATTTGTGGTCAAGACTGCTAAAAGCCTCCAGTGATCAGTATGATTACAACAAGATGAGAACTTGCTTTGCATTATGTCTGAGTGCACCATTAGAAACGCTACGGAGCTCCAGCTCTTTTTAAAGCACAAATAAATTCATGCACGCGCACACACACACACACACACTGTGCCCAGGGCTGATGACCTTCCGTGAGCAGCCAACCATCCTGTTTGTTCCACTTGAATGCAGGTATGTGACTGCTGCGTCTGCTGCTGCTCTGCAACTGCAGCCAGACGCTAGAGCCACCAAGCTGCCGGAGACAATGAGAGAGAGAGCGAAAGAAGGAAGGGAGAAAAGGGAGATAGAAATATAGAGGGGGAAAAAAAGGAAAGAAGAAGAAAAAAAAAAAAAAAAAAAAGAAAGCAGCAGGCCATTAAGCTCGGGTTGAAAGGACAACAAGTCCGAATAATGGAGACCAAGCTGAGAGAGATGGCGGGTTAGGCTGACCTTCACATTTCTTGAATGACAAAATGCACTAACACCCAAGTGAGTGACAAGTGAGTCTAGTGGGGTAATGTGGTGATGGGGAAAGGTTGCTCTCATGCTGCTCATAGTGGCTATCAGAATCCCATGAAAAAAGAAAAAAAAGAAAAAGAAGGTGAGAGGAAGCGTAAAAGCATGTGGGGTAGAGATTATGTCTGTTCTGTTTTCTTCTCATTTCCTCTAACTTGGGGTTATATTATTCTGCTGTTGCCCTGCTCACTTTAATAATCTAATGGTTTCAAAACAGTTTTTTGGGGTTTTTTTTTTAATCACATCATTGTCCTTTTTTTACCAACATTTATAGACATGACCAGCTTAGCCACAAGCTATGGTAAAGATGTTTTCTTTTACCTCTCTAACGTGTCCACATGGTTTTTAATATCCTAAAAGACGCATCATGAAGAAAATAAGAGGTCTACTCCATGACTGAGCATTTTCACTTTGAAACTGCACTGTGCCACCTCAAAAACACGGATTCAGACTTAAAGCGTTTCACACATATCAAACTTGGGAAACCGATCCTGCTTGCAAGATGGAGCTTTCTGTATCATTCTTCTTCAGCCTCAGCATCTGGTTCGAACATGTGTGCTTGAATCAATATTGCAAGGGTACCACAGAGTAGTTTTGAGCAGAGCTGCAAGTGAGCTGGTGTGTTGAGCTGCAGGGAATGGAGAGGGGTGGCTGGAGAGAAAGAGGTGGGAATGTCAGGGGTTAAATCAATAACCTGAGAGGGACTTTAACTGGTTTCTAAAACAAGTTTTACCTCTAACTGATGGATGCATAAATGGAGAAAAAACGTCCCCTGATCATCGCTAAGTTATTGCAGAAGTCTTATTTTCCCAGCTTGGCACACCAGATACCTCACCGACTAAAGAGAAGCTCTTTAACAGCAAGCACAGCTCTGCTTCAGCTAGTTAAGAGGCCCGCTGATTAGCTTAGTGCCGATTTATCTGACTATTTCTAATTTGATGAAGGGCTCGCAGTCGACAAAGTCTGAGCAATGGTGCTACATTCGTAGATTCGCACATTCGAGCACAGGTGGATGAATACACAGACAGATGGATGACTGAACACACACGTAGTGCCAGAACG